AAAAAAAAAAAACACCAGGTTGGGTTTGCTTTCTATTGGGGAGTTGCAATAAATCGCTGAACGACATTGATGAATAGAAGGCATAAGAAACCAATGAAACTTTCGTAATGAGTACACGACTGAAATAAAACTTTAATACATTTTTTTGTAGAAATATATGCGAACCTCCAACGAAGGGGGTCGCCTGAGTGAAAGGGAAGAAAAAAACGGACGCGCGTCACAACTGAAAGGAATCACGGCCACCTAATAATATCATAATCACAGACAAAAATTTGACATACGATCGCGTTAGCCGCCCCAAACTCTCATCACAATCGATGGATCACTAGGAAATTGCCGTGGTTTGCAGCAGACTGAGTGAGACAGAGAGAGCACGAGCCAACAGCAGTACTGAGCATGAAATCAATGGGATGAGTATTGTAGCGACACAGACAGACCACGATAACTACTACCTAATATCCTCTACGTGGTAGATAACAATTGGTATTCGAGTCTTCAATAGAAGAAGTTAGTATAGTTAATCTAGTTTTCAACGTAGAAGTCTAACTGAAACCTATACCGTAAAAGGAAAACAAAATACAGTAATTCTGATTGATACAGTAAACATTGAGTACGAGAGAGAGAGACATCGACCAGATTGACATAACAGAAGATGATTACGTACACATCAAAGGGAGAAAAAAATGGCGACTCTACAATTTAAAAGGAAGAATCGAGGAATTAAAACAATGCAGATTCTCAATGAATGACGAAAACCAAAGCGAGCAATCATTTTTAGCCAGAAATTCTCCGAATTAACGCCATGCGACCTCGGACAGCATATTTAATAAAGGAGGTTATGAAAGGGTAAACGGAAGAATGCAAAAAGCTGCCCGAATTAAGCTTCGTCTACCGGCATTTAGCTTATCCTCGATTCAATGACAATACAAAACAATTACATTAACAAGAGGGCTTGTTTGTGAAGAAACAATACGAAAATCGTGGCGTAAATATACATAGTGATAGCGAAGCAATACACAAATGATGGTGTACAATCAAAATATGTAAATGTACCAGCAAACGTAAAACCGAATGAGATACAACTGGCAACATGAACCTATTTCTCCTATTGTGGGCCCTTTTTAACAAAACCCAATCTAGTACAACCACTGAAGAACATCGAAGGAAGGCATTGACCAGAGAAAAGAAACAGAAGAACGCCTGAAATTTCTTAAGATAAGCAGCTTATGAGAATTCAATAATTGCTAATTACACACATAATGATGAGCAATAGAATAGCGGAGCGTCTTCGCCAACGTGTCCATTAGCTTGAGCACTACCCATTGAGGCCAGGCCCTGATCTCCCGGAGTTAAAATTCTCATCCCTTCATCCCCCAGGATGGGATTGGTAGGGACGTACTTATCTAAGAGGATGAAACCACTCATTTAAACAGGAACCCAGCTCTGTTCACATCCATAAGAAAGGGAAGACATTGGTTTAGGGCGCTCAAAAGGAACGGTTCAATATCGAGCACCTCTTCTTCCAATCCTTGTTTCTACACCTTCTATTAGGTCGTGAAGAAAGTTCTTGCGGTTTTGCGCCACAAACTTCAAATGCATATATCTCGGCTTGAACGAAACTTCATCAATCGAAATAACAACCATTACTATCGACACACTTTTGTTAACGAAAAACAAGTTT